ATTTTGTGACCACAGTTGCAAATAGCCTCCAGAGATCCTGTTCTACACCAGACCAGTGGAGCCAAACTGCAGCCCATCATCATCCTCATCTTGTTGTAAGTAGGCAATCTAGTATATTATTAGTGACACTAATCTATAATTTACCTCACATTAAAGGGACACTATAGCTTAATGAAGTGATTCTGGTGTCTATAGCTGGTCCCTGCAGGCTTTTTAATGTAAACACACACTGTGTGCAGCACTGGCGTTAGTTCATATAGGTGGGGCATTGTGATGTCACATGGGGGGGCAGCAAATTTTTATTTTGTCTAGGGCGGCAAAAATCCTTGCACCGGCTCTGATCCTGGGCAGGTGCACCAGTCTACTGGTGACCCACAGGAGGGGAGTGCACTGATTACACTGCACTCTCCTCCTGCCCAGCCCCATCTTTACCGCAGTGCAAGTGCCCTCTGCCCCTAATTTACAGTGGCTCACACTCACAACAAGCAGTGCCTGGAGCCGTGAAGGAGCGGGTATGGCAAAGAGCTACTGATTAGCATAACATCAATATCCGCTATAAAACCAGGAAAAGGTGGGCATGGATGGTGAACTGATTTGGTGGTGCAATGGGCCACTTGACTGGTTTTGCCCTCCAGGCCTAAGGCTGCCAGCCCTCCCCTGCTGTTGAGGCTACCCTCTGTACCCTGCTCCTCTGCAGCACTGCCATTAATTTGGCAAGCATGATATTCACAAAGTTCTCCTTCCTGCTGAGTGACCCCTCTAAGGGGTATATTTCCAAAATCAAGCCATTGATCTGTGAGCTGCTCCCCTCCAGGCTCTCCCTGCAGGACAAAAGATTGGCAACCACTGACTGCTGATATGATGTTTAGCCCATCTCGCTTGACGTATGTGACGGAACGTCGTCACAGCATTCCGTCACAATGTAATCACCTAATCACCTCCTGTGAAGCCTTCATTATTGATAAATTATTGTCATTTAGTTGCTTCTTATAGACAAGTATTGGGATGCATTACACGTGTAGCTATTAAAACAATACGCCAACAGTGCTTCTCATTGAAAAATATTACAAATACTGCTTCTCTTTCTTTTCATTTACTTGTGCTTTGAACTACAGTTAAAAGTGAGAGAGTCAGGAAACACTTCTAGCTTTCTTTTGAAATCTTTGTTTCTTTTGAAATCTATGCTTTTATAATATAAGGCAAGCAAAAGTGCTTGGAAAAATAGAGTGTCCTTTTCATCTATTTACCCACACTATGCTTTCCATTTGCTTCTGTCCATTTATGGAAAATTAGTGTCAAGAAATCATCACAAACAATTTCTATGTACAATTTTATTTTGGTTTATACAGTATATTTATGGCAAATGTATTACATTTTTGAAGCATAATTTGCATCATTTAGGCCAAAGTAGCTGCACTATATATATATATTTATTAAATATGATACATGTCTTTAACTTGCTTATTTTGGCTTAAATTAAATTGTGCAAATAATAGTTTTTTTCAGTTCAGAACTGGTCACTATTAAGTCAATAAACCCCTTACAACAGTGCTTATGTTTTACCATCATAAAACTAGCTTGAATAAGGTAAACAATGAACAAGGTTATCTAATGTACTTTAAAATGTGTTACTGTTCTCAGGGGCATTTTTTATCAGCACTGCAGAAAGTGAGTTGCTTTGCAAACAAACATTAGCAACTTAGAGACTATCAATATAAAAAATAATCCATCGGGACTTTACCCACCCTAAATGGAGTCACAAAATGAAGTTATAATTCTGAAACATTATATTTTTCCCTGTAATTGATCTAATTTTTTTAGTCCAAACACTGCATCACTGAAGTAGGCTGAAAGTGATATTATTTTAACGTGTGACGGCTTGTAATAGGCAAGGGGTTATTGTCTTCATATTTTTATGCTGAGTAAGAACTGCAATAATGGTTATCTCTTCTAGCACTAAAGAATTAAATCAACAAAATATTGAACACACAAATTAAATCTTGACAGGAAGCATCACATATTAGAGCATATGCTTTAAATCATTTTAAAGAACATACTGTTATTATAAACCAATGTGCACTTTTATAATTTTTTCATTTATAATATTTTTTTATCTACTTCATGGTGTCTATTAATATGGTGAATACTTGTGCCCAACGTAGGGTATATGCATACAGCACTGGCGTTATAGTATTGTAGGTTGTATTGTAAAAGTGCTGTGTCTTCAGAGAATTGCTGTTGTTAGTTTTTCAGATAATCATCATTAACTAGTTCTCCGTATATCCTGTCAATCATCTATTGAATCCTGAATCTGGTCACTGTCAAGGTCAATTGTCAGGAATGCCAAGTATATACAAATTGAATGTAAAATGTTTCCACTTTAATTATTTGACTTAAATTTACAGTTCACTATGAATTTAGTTTGAATTGTCAATAGTTCTTCCTTAAAGAACCTAAAGATATCTGAAAGATGCAATGTTTCATCCATAAGGCCTTAATCGTATCTTATGTTTAGAAATATTGAATTGTTCACATTCCCACCGCATATGTTATACCGTTACTTTTTCATTATTACATCTCCAACACTGATCTGAAATAACTCCAGGTAAATATTAGGTGATAGTATAATGTCCTAATTAGATTTATTAGGTAAAAACAACACTAAGCATGAGTTTGTGTGAGACGATATTCAACCCGTAAAGTACGGTGAATACATATGGCATCCCTTACAATCCATTAGTGATGAGTAGAGTTGCCACTCGATCTGTAGAATTGTGAGAATATCTATGTCTAATATCTAGTAGCAACTCTACTCGTCACTAATAGAGATATGTAAGGGATGATATATGTATTCACCATACTTTACAGGTTGAATATTGTCTCGCACAAACTCATGCTTAGTGTTGTTTTTACGTAATAAATCTAATTATTATTACTATTATTGCGACTTATATAGCGCCAACAGATTCCGTAGTGCTTTACAATATTATTAGAGGGGGGATTTGACTATAAATAGGACAATTACAAGAAAACTTACAGAAACAAAGGGTTGAAGAGGCCCCTGCTCAAATGAGCTTAGAGTCTATAGGAGGTGGGATATAAAACACATTAGGACAGGGAATAGAAGTCAAATTAGGTGGGAGTGGAGCAGAGCTGGAGGAGAGAGTAGGGTGCTGCCCTTTAGGAGAGAGCAAGAGGCAGGTATGTGAGGTAGAGGTTAGTCTGGGAGGCCATAGGCTTTCCTAAAGAAATTAGTTTTAAGGCACTTCTTAAATAATTGAAATGAGAGAGTCTGATGGTGGTAGGCAGGCTATTCCATAGGACGGGAGCCGCCCGCGAAAAGTCCTGCAAGCGCAAATTGGCCGTACGGGTAGGATCCGCGGACAGGAAATACTGGAACGCTGATATGGCATGACAGGAACCAAACAAGTGAACCAGAGTCATGCCATATCAGCGTTCCAGTATTTCCTGTCTGATTCTGGCTTCTGACCTTGGCTTTCCTCCTGGACTACTCTGATCTCTGGCTTCCCCTGACTTTGGCTTTCCTTGACTGCAGGCAACAAGTTGCCCCAACTGATGATGAAACTGGAAAGGAGCTGGTACTAGCTTTGTATGATTACCAAGAAAAGAGCCCAAGAGAAGTGACCATGAAGAAAGGGGACATTCTGACCCTCCTGAACAGTACTAATAAAGAAGGTGGAAGGTGGAAGTGAATGATCGCCAGGGCTTTGTGCCCACTGCGTATGTGAAGAAGCTGGACCCAGCACAATCTGCTTCCCGTGAGAACCTTCTGGAGGAACAAGGAAGCATTGCATTGAGGCAGGAGCAGATCGATGGACAGACTCTCCTATCTAAGGAAGCTGGCAGTGTTTCTCTACGTATGAATCAGGTTGAAGAACTGTACCACAACATTTTGGAAATGGGAGAGAAACGCAAGGATATGCTAGAGAAAAGCTGTAAGAAGTTTGTAACGGATCGCCTGGCACCCCGACTGGGTACCTCCGTTGAAGGATGCTCCTAGCGCTTCCTGAGGACTCCAAGCACTCTGGCAGACACCACAATCACCGAACTGGAGAAACAAATAAATTCTCCCAAGCATATGAATGCTGTAGACAGTTGAATAGAAACCATACGAATAGGTTTACTCTCCTAGCAGTCAAACTGGAACAGCATACAATAAATCCTTCCCCCAATAATGAGACGAAACTTCACTTTGAGGGTTAAAACAGGAACTCTCTGTACTGTCACATACAGTCTCTTTTATTCCCAATCCACAAACATAGTACAGCCCACAGGGCGTTACAAAACAACCAATCAATCCGTACAATACACCCAGACACTCCCACACAAAATCCTCCCCTCTGCATGTGATATGATTACTGAACACAATGGGTAATCTCATTATCACCGGCAGAGGAATACAGTTTTTACACAATATTTATAACTTCTAAAATATACATGTCACAAACATAAAACATACATTTTCATAATCAATCCATTCAGGGGAACAACATATTAAAAAATGGCACGAATCAGACCAGGGGTTCAAAAGTTAAGGGAAAGTCCTTTGTGACTAAATGAAGCATGGCTTTCTGGCCCAAACCAGTTTCAGAGTCTTCTATCCTGGAGAGTAATTAAATTATCTCCCAGGACAGACACAAGACTCCATTAAGCACATGGTTGCAAAAAGACACAAAACACTTTAAAATACATAAAGTCACCTTTTACACATAAGACACAGACATTTCACATATCCCCAGATAGCTGGGATCTGAGCGCACAAAACTACCGAATAGCGCTCAGATCCTATTCACACTGTTCAATTGCCATGGAGCCGAAGTCTTTAACTACACGAATGGGCTCCATGGCATAGCTATCTGGGTTAACACATTCACATAAAGTCTGGTCCATAGTCCAAAAGCAAGAGGCGGGCAAGCAGCCCCCTCCAAGGACACGTGGCGAGGCCGGTTTTGCCACAAAGTTCATGTTGTTCCGAGAGCCAAACGAGCTGCATCAATGGATCAATGAAAAGGAATCTGCCCTCACAAATGAAGAAGTGGGGGTTGACCTTGAGCAGGTGGAGGTGCTACAGAAAAAGTTTGATGATTTCCAGAAGGACCTGAAAGCAAACGAATCTCGTCTTAAAGATATCAACAAAGTTGCTGATGACCTCGAATCTGAGGGACTGATCACAGAAGAAGTACAGGCCATACAGCAGCAAGAAATATATGGAATTCCAAAGGATGAAGGGGATTCCAAATCTGCATCCATTGAAGTCTGTATGTACTGCAGTGCATGCTGTGGCCACCTTCAACTCCATCAAGGAACTGAATGAGCATTGGAGATCCCTGCAGCAGTTGGCAGAAGAGAGAAGCCAACTCCTGGGCAGTGCCCATGAAGTGCAGAGATTCCACAGAGATGCTGATGAGACAAAAGAATGGATTGAGGAGAAGAACCAGGCTTTAAATACAGACAGCTATGGACATGATTTGGCTAGTGTCCAGGTTCTGCAACGAAAACATGAGGGATTTGAACATGACCTGGCAGCTCTTGGTGATAAGGTGAACTCGTTGGGAGAGACTGCTTTGCGTCTAATCCAATCACATCCAGAATCTGCAGATGACATCCAGGAGAAGTGCAAAGAGCTCAACCAGGCCTGGAGCAGCCTCGGCAAAAGGGCCGACCAACGTAAGAAGAAACTGGAAGATTCTCACGACCTGCAGCGCTTCCTGAGTGACTTCAGGGACCTTATGTCCTGGATTAATGGTATCCGGGGCTTGGTGTCATCAGATGAACTCGCAAAAGATGTGACTGGAGCAGAAGCTCTGCTGCAGAGACATCAGGAGCACCATACAGAGATCGATGCCAGAGCTGGTACATTCCAAGCCTTTGAGCATTTGGGGCAGCAGCTCCTGGCTCGTGGGCACTATGCTAGCGCTGAGATAAAAGACAAGCTGGATATTTTGGACAAAGAACGGGAAAGTTTGGAAAAAGCCTGGGCACAACGTAGGATGATGCTGGACCAATGCTTGAAACTTCAGCTCTTTAACAGAGACTGCGAGCAGGCAGAGAACTGGATGGCTGCATGTGAAGCATTCCTAAATAGCGAGGACAAGGGGGATTCCCTGGACAGCGTGGAAGCCCTCATCAAGAAACATGAAGATTTTGATAAGGCCATTAACATTCAGGAAGAGAAGATTGCTGCCTTGCAGTCTTTTGCTGACCAGCTGATAACTAATGACCATTACGCCAAAGGAGACATTTCTGCATGACGCAATGAGGTCTTGTGATACCTGTATTGCAGTTTGCTCGTGTTTCTCTCTGGTTACTGATTATTTGGCTAGTTATTCCGATTTTCCTGTATTCTCCACTCCTTTGACCTCGGCTTGTTTCTCGTTCTCCCATTTTCTGGCTCCCTTTACATGGCTTGTCTCCTGACTATTCTTAGTGTGCTTAGCCCGGCCCCTCTAAGGACCGGTATAGCATCCTTTCTCTCTGTGACCTGTTAGTGTGTTAGGTTCCGGAATCGTGACAGGGGTGGGGTGTGAGAGGACCGACTACAGAGGAAAATCAGTCTGGCGGCAGCGTTCATTACAGACTGTAGCGGGGAAATACGGCTATTGGGAAGACCAATTAGGAGAGAGTTACAATAGTCCATGCGAGAGATTACTAGAGCATGTACAAGCTCTTTAGTAGCGTCTTGTGTAAGAAAGGGGCGGATGCGGGCAATGTTTTTGAGGTGGAATTGGCATGATTTGACAACAGACCGGATGTGAGGCTCAAAGGTGAGGCCAGAATCAAAAGTAACACCAAGACAACGGGCTTGTAAGGATGGGCTCATATGGGTACCACCAATCTGAAGGGAGAGCGAGAGAGGAGGATTAATATTAGGAGGAGGAAAGACAAGAAGTTCTGTTTTGGAAAGATTCAGTTTCAGAAAGCGGGAGGACATCCAATCAGAGATAGAAGACAGGCAAGAGGTGACACGTTGCAGGACATCAGGGGAGAGGTCTGGGGAGGAGAGATATATCTGGGTGTCATCAGCGTACAGGTGGTATTTGAATCCAAAAGCGGTAATAAGCTTGCCAAGAGAGGCAGTGTAAAGAGAAAATAGAAGGGGACCAAGGACAGAGCCTTGAGGGACTCCAACTGAAACAGGACGAAAGGTGGAGGTATCATTAGAAAAGGAGACACTGAATGAGCGTTGGGAGAGATAGGAGGAAAATCATGAGAGGACAGAGTCACAGAGACCGAGTTATTGAAGAGTTTGGAGAAGGAGAACATGATCAACAGTGTCAAAAGCAGTGGAGAGGTCAAGAAGAATTAGTATGGAGTGGTGACCTTTGAATTTAGCTGTGATAAGGTCATTAGTGACTTTGATAAGGGCAGTCTCAGTAGAGTGGAGGGGGCGGAAGCCGGACTGAAGAGGGTCGAGGAGAGAATAGGAGTTAAGGAAGCAGGCCAAATAGGTGAAGACTAGTCTTTCAAGAAGCTTTGAGGAAAAAGGGAGCAGGGATATAGGACGATAGTTAGAGGGGGAGGATGGGTCGAGACATGTTTTTTTTAAAGATGGGTACTACAGTAGCATGTTTCAGGACAGCAGGAACAGTGCCAGAAGAAAGAGAGCAGTTGAAGATGTTTGTTAAGGAGGGCACAAAACAAGGAGAGAGAGATCTAATAAGGTGAGACGGGACAGGATCAAGTGAGCAAGTGATCAATTAGGACATTATACTATCATGGGCGTAATATAAATGGAAGGGGTAGAGACGGGTAGTAAAATGTATGGAATGCATCTCTGACAGTGTCACTGAATGACAGTTAGGAAATGTGGTCACCCTAAGTCAGGGGCAGTATTACACAATCTGTATATGTATAAAAAATAGAAAAAGTAATCTGCAAAGTACAAAATGTTTGTGTCATATGTCGTGCTAAAAATTAAACTAGGAATATGCATATTTTTACATTTTTTAAAAATAATTTTTAGAATAATGATACAGACATTTTATTTCTTACATTTGTAATGATTCTTTTTTCCTTTCTATATTCAAGGGACACTATAGTCACCAGAACCACAACAGCTAAACGTAGTAGTTCTGGTGTCTATAGCATGTATTTGCAGGCTTTTTAATGTAGGCTCTGCCATTTCGTAAAAAGGCAGCATTTACATTACTGCTGAGGAATACCTCTAGTGGACACTCAGATGGCCACTAGAGGTGCTTCCTATTCGAGACATGAATGCTGCCCTATGAAGTATCTGCACATGTGCGGCAAAGCTGTGCATGAGCACCAGAGAGCAATGACGCTTCTGAATAGAAGCGTTTTATTGCTCCCTGCTCGCACCCTCCTATTTCGTCATTTTGACGAAATAGGGGGCGCGGCATCAGGAGGATCACGGCGCTGTATCCGGGTAAGTAAAATCCCTTCCCAGTAGTGACCCTTTAATGTTATTATTTAATCATTTATGTTACAAACTGCCATTTGTAACTGTTATTTTATTTGACAAATTGCCCTGCTTCCCTGTGTTATGGAGAAGAAGCCTAATTGCCAGCCTTCTGCCCCATGACTATGGACCTGGTGTGTATGGCGATTTGACTGTATTTGTGGGATCTGAGCGCTGTTTGGATATATTGAGCGCTCAGATCCAAGCCATCTGGGGATAGGTTGAATGTGGGGGTTCTGTTCAGTTCAATAGGAGTTATGTATTTTTGTGTCTTTTGCTGACATGTGGTTAATGGAGTCTGCCTCTATCCCTGGATAATTGGATTACTTTCCCCATTGTCCAGGATAGAGGCCTCTGTAAAACCGGTTTGGGCCAGAAAACCATGCTGCCAGCCAGGCCCCAAAAGACACTTTTTGCTAACTTTTGAACCCCTTGTCTGATTTGTGCCATTTTTTAATATGTTGCTCCCC